TATATATAATTATTATATCTAATAAAATTATTATATATATACTATTATATTTATATATATAAAATATATATTTATAAAATATATAAAATACACGTAACGTGTGGAGGATAACATATGTTTTTTCTACAACTTGTCATGTAACTTTACAATTTATTATATAATAAAAAATCGTAGAAATATATAAACTCTCTATGATATACATTATTATTATCATGAAACATGTTTTAAAGTATGACATCATGCGCGAAACAAAAAAAAACAATATTAAACTAAAGAAATAAACAAGAAGACATATCGAGACACACATACATCATTTTATCGCGGGAAGATTCAAATAAAAGTGAAAAATTATATTCCATGCCTATATATATATATATGTGTGTGTGTGTGTTGTGCATACGTATTACGAACAAAGATGATGTCTTTATAAACAAATCGATGAACGACTTTTAGAAACTGTGCCAACAGTTCAATCTCAGCAACCAACCCCCCTTCGTTTTCTGTTAAATCATCAAATTCAGTAAATGTCAAACTCATTTTACGACTTATCCGCATTTCAGTAACGAAATAAATGGGGTGGATTTTTCTTTCCCCCCCCCCCAATTCGTTTCACGAAGGGTAGGTAGCTAGTAAGAAAGATAATCATGGCGATAATATATACGGATAATAATTATTAAATCGATAAGATAATTCATTTAATTAATTGTACAAAGTATCTTTGAATTAATTCATAGATTCAAATCATTGTATTTCTATTAAACCATATGGTAAACTTATAATACTGTTTGTTTAAAGTAAATAACATTTTGAATTTTGTTTAATAATGGTATGCGCATAAGTGAGTCAAATTACAATGGAATGAAAGAAATAATTCAAAAAAAAAAAATAAATAAAAATAAAAAATGGAAGATGTAAATTGATGTTCGTAGTCTCAATTAATAATGTTTAAATAATATATAATCAAAGAGAAATAATTTATTAAAAATATAGAATCGTCTGAATTTTTGTTCTTTTATCATACACATTAACAAGGACAACTTTGATACGCGGTTCCGCCTTCTTTGATCAATTAAATAATTCAAATAAAAAATTGTCAAATTTTTATATACACGTTTAATGGATCCTTTATTGATCTATGGAGATTTATAGGATCGAACAAAATTAAATTAAAAATATATATGTATGTATATTTAACCTCAATAAAAATAAATTTAAAAAAAAAAGCAGAAATAAAGAAATATCATTGGAATAAAAAAAATAATACATATTAATAAATGTGAATAATCTTTACCTTGAACGCTTTAATTGGGATTGCGTTTTAAAGCATTTCCTTTTAAGATCTCTCTCCCAGCTGTTCTTTTGCCGATAGAATTTTGAAAAAAACAACATGCGCTTTCCTAGTTCACTATAGTCATAGTCAAGTACGTATATAATAGTTAACAACACTGTTCTTTCTTATCACTATGTTGCACCTGTGCTATTATTTTATCTATCTCTGTTTTTCTTTAAGTTTCTACCGTTCCGTCTTACACATTTGTCTTCGAATGAGGATCACTTTGGTTAGGATCAAAAAAAAAAGGACAAACTAATCATCCAGGTTTTCCCTTTTTCTAATTACACACGCGAATAATTATAATATACTACGATTGTGAAATATTAATTAATATTGGAGAATCTTCAAAAATATTATTGTTCTTCTTATGAGATTTGATAACTATAAATGCCATTGCAGTTGCCGGTATGTCACTACCGAATAGATAAACACAACTGGCTTTGAATAACCTCCTTCCAGTGCGACATGTCAATCCCTACTACTGACACTCGCCGTATACCAGCATATAAAGCGATCCGAGCATGCGCAGTAGCGTTTGACACTACCTCACTACGCAGGACCGTATCATATTAGATCTCAATAATATTTGTCTCTTTTTCGACATACTTTTTTTTAAAGTCACTTTTTATATTATCCTTGAAACATTGAAAAATTGAAATCAAAGTATAATTTCGTTTGTTATTCATTGATTTTTATTAACAATTATTTCATTCCAAATATATATATATTATATTATAATTTTAATAACATGCGATTTTTTTTTTTTTTCGATTTAAATAACATCTTTTATTTATTGTGATATTCTTTTTTTCTTTCTATATATTTCAGTTTTCTTTTTGTTTTTCATAAAATTACTTTCTAGATTATCTTTAAACGTCTAGTTGCTTCATCATCCAGTGAAAAAAGCCAAGAACCGTGAAACTGAAACTCAATGGTATACAGGTCGCTTTGATCCATTCCCAGATACTGCAAATTAATGGATGACAGATAGTCTGGGAAATCATTTTATCTAATATTACGATTTACTAAATGGATTTACAAAATTTAATTATACGTATATATCAAATAATACGTAAAACATACGATGTCTCTAATATTTATACAACATAATTGTATAAATATCTTTTATCTATAAAAAAAAAGTAAGCTACAGAGAGAATTATCAAACAAGATACATTGTGAGATAAATAAGGGGGAAAAAAATAAATTTACTTGTATGGGTCATCCGATACGGTGTATGGCGACGTCACCGGAATTATTCCACTTTCAGATATAACTATTGGTTTGATCGGCCTATCATTGACATCTGTCTTTGTTTGTTCGATTTTGAAAACTACACTTTGTCCTTCGATTACCTGTTAAATTCAAAATAATAAATTACGAAAAATAATTAAATTATACATATATAATATAATTTATTTATTACTAAAAATGAATTACTAAAAATATACTATATTGAATAAATTATTAAAAATAATATTATATATATATATATAGTATTATTTAGTATATTAGTATTATTTATATAGTATATATATTATATAATAGTATATTATAATATACTAGTTATACTAAATACTAAATTATAATATTATATATAGTGTATAGTATATATATATACAGTGTTCTACAAAGGTCTTTTAAAAGAGGAAACCGTGTTATAGGATGCCATGTTTAAGGAGGGTTCCCGCAATTTATGAATCATGTTACAGCGAAACCATGTTATAAGATGCCGTATTGTAGTTGGACTCTACCTGTATATATTTTATTTTATATTTTACCTTTCCAAAAACAGTATGCTTTCCGTCTAACCAAGGTGTTGCTATGGTTGTAATAAAAAATTGACAACCATTAGTATTTTCACCAGCATTTGCCATACTGAGGAAAAATGGTCCGGCATGTGGTAAATCAAAATTCTCATCGTCGAAATATTGTCCATAAATGCTGATCGATCCTGTACCATCACCGTTTTCAATGTCACCACCTGAGATTTTCATTCATTTATAAAATACATAAGAAGGATTAATTAACTATAGTCAATCAAAATCTGTATTTTATTAGTGAATGCTATTTTTTAAATTAAAGATTTTTGTAAATAAAAAATGTGCATAAGTATTGACCCCTTAAGTTGCACGCTCGAATTAACTCGAACGGGGTTGCATTCTATGCTGCTATAAAAATTTTGATTAATTTTGTATTTTTTTAATTTTTTTTTTTTTTGCCAAGACAATATTCTAAATTGTGTTTTTTTACATAAAAAAAAAAAATTGTGCTTTAAGTAGTTAAGTTATAATCCTAGTAGCACTCAATATTGAATACATGTGTATTTAATATTAAAAAGAGATTCAATGTCTTTTTATTATTAATACACGTGTACTTAATATTGAATACATGTGTATTTAATATTAAAAAGAGATTCAATGTCTTTTTTTTAATATTAAATGCACATGTATTCAATATTTTGTGCTACTAGAAAATGTTCTATCAGCGTTGAAATTAAAGTAAATCTGAATAAAGATTTCACTCTGTATCGTGATAATACACATTTGCGAACAACATTACCATAACAAAAAGATTTAATTTACACTATAGAAATATTAAATGAGAAATACCTTGAATCATAAATTTCTTAATAATACGATGAAAGGTTGTACCAGCGTAAGTTTTTCCATTAATACCGGTCGTAGCTATCGTAAGAAAATTCTTCACTGTTTTTGGAGCAACATCACCGAATAATCCTATAACGATTCTTCCGGCAGGATGATCATCGATCATTATGTCGAAATAAACCTTATCTGTGATTGTAAAAGTGGTAGCCTGTAATAGATACAATCATCTTCATTAAATTTAAACACTCAGTATACTTTAACGTATGCAAGTAAGTAGATGCATTTGAAAAATGTTGACTAAAGTGTTAGTTTTGATATGCAACCCTTCATGTTGAGTTTCACAAAAGATTCGAATAAGCAAAATGAATGATAAAAACGAATTAACATTGCATACTCTCATACTACATGGGCTTCTTGTTTCTTGTAGAAATTTAATTCGTGATTTATATGCAACCGAATACTTTTCATTAGAAATTCTTCAATGCCACAGGTGATATTATATTTCAATTTGAAATGTATGTTGAAAAGGTGCAACCTCTCCCCCATACGAACGCATGCGTATTCGTTTGTAAAGAAAAAAAAAACACAAAAAAAAAAAAACAGCGAGGGAAACCTTATATGTATTTGATATTTACAAACGTATGACACTTGATGTTTTTTTCATTTAATATTTCTAATGTTATTTTTTTATTTATTGCATTAATGTTTAAAACTATTTGATATTTGTGATTGCATCATATAAAAAAAAAAAAAAAGAAACAAGTCAAATGTTAACAATAATAATTTTTAATAAGAATTTCATTGTAATTTATGATTTAGATATTTCGATTAAAGTTTATCTATTTTTTGTTTTGCCAAATATATTGCAATTTTATTCAGACATTATTTGCAAAAAAAAAAAAAAAGAAATCTTTGCACGTATCAACGAATAATATACATCACACGATATTATTGGGAAACCATATAATTACAGCAACCTATCTGGAAACCTCCAAGTGAGATGTATGTCAAGATAATTCGAACAAAACGTGAACATTCAATGAATATCAATGAAAGTAAAATGAAAATGTATTTAACGATTATTAAGATAAATAACAAATGAAATTTCGCAAAAAATTCATTACAAATATTTCTAATTATCTTACGAAATAATACCTTGTTGTGTGGGATAAGAAGACTAACGAGAAAAACGACTGTTAAAAAACACTTCATAATTTGACGAGTTGTATTCAAATACATAGAATTTAATTTTATTGATTGAAAAGAAAAGAAAAAAAAAGAAGAGAGAGAGAGAAAAAAAATCACAATTTTATGCAAACGATTTATAACGCGTATTAAAATTCTGTCGTGTTACATTGAGATCAAAAAATTGACTATAAGTTTCCGTCGAATAGTCAACGCGCTTCTGTCCAAGTCCAAACTCTTTATAAATTGCGTCTGCGCTCCTCATGAATTCTTTCAGAAGGTCCAATTACCTAAAGTTCAATTTCCCACCCTTCCAATTTCATTCAATTTGTGATTATTTGCTTTCCTATGGATGTAAGTATCAATATTGCAATTTGTAATTTTTAATAAAAGGAAACTTACCTCTCTTAGTGTTTTTTAAGGAATTATTTATTTATTCATTTTGTAAATATAATAAAATTAATTAATAAATAAAAAATTTAAAAATATAATAATAAATATTTTATATGTATACTTTATTATATTGAATATATTAAATACTTAATATATTATAAATATAATATATATTAAATAGGTATAAATTAAATATATAATTATATTAAATATATTAAATTAAGTATAATAAAGTATACATATAAAATATTTTTATATTTGTATATTATTATTATATATTTATATTGTATTATATTATATTATATATATATATATATATTTGTATTTTGTACATTATTATATTGTATATATGTATTTATATATATTTATATATTTTTATATATGTAATTATATTTAAAAGAAGCAATAAATAGGAACTATTCTTTTATTGATACAACTGACAACATAGCAACGAGTGTTTAGTGTATGAAAGTGTTTCATAGTACTCGTAATATGCAAATTTTGTAATATCTTATAAGGTATGTAGAAATTTGAAAATATATACATAATAATATATATTATTTAATATTTAATAATATTAAATTACTGAAATAATTATATGATTAATATTATAATTTGTTTTATTTGTTATAATCAGTATGGCGACGAAAGGTAAAGGTAAAAGAAAAGGATCTATCAGCAATAATAAGAACAATGATAAAACAGTCAAAGGTAACAATGGCAAGAAAAGTAAAGGTTCAAGAAGAACGAAAAAAAGTGGTGGAAGAATAAAATTTACCATGGATATATTTAATGAAGAAGCTATGGAAAATGCTTATTATACGTGTCACAATATAATGGATGTTTTAAAATGTCGAGGATTTCCATGGCCAGAGGCACAAAAGAAAAAAAAGAAAAAGGGAAAAAAATAAAGATCATTTCATATATGATCAATTTATATATTATATATTATAATATATAATATATATTCATGGCTATAACTTTTTAATAAATATATATATTTATCAGTTTTTTTTTCACATACAGTTTTTTTACAAAATCAGACATTACAAAAATAAACATATATCTATATATATTTATTTTATGTATATATATTTGTACGACGTTTTACTATATAGGGTGAGTCGGAATTATCAAAACGCTTATTATTTTTTTTTTTTTTTTTTTTTTAGTAAATACGTTAAAGTTTATAAAAATTAATTTTAATTTAACCTACGTTCTGTGCAATATCTCTGTAATATTGTTCTACGTCAAATTCCGAACTTGAGATCATAAATGGACCATTAAAAACGCAATGTACGGTTACCGTTTCAAAATACGAGAGATTCGGTAATAGCTATAAAACAAAACAAAACAAAACAAAAAGAATAATAATCAAATATTAAAATATATATTTAATTTTCAATCTATAATATTGCGAATTATTGAATACTTACTTTTGGTGTCAATAAAAAATATTGAGAACTACCTGGCCTTCCGGTTATTTTAACCAGTAATTCAAAAACTCTTCTTTCATTAATTGCATCCATTCCCTTAAAATATAATCAATATTTTCCATATAATATTGTGTTAATAATATATAAAGTGAATGCGCATTGACAAATTTCATTTAAAATACCTGATTGATTTCGTCAACACAACGAAAAGGTACTCTAGCTAATTCTTGCAAAGAAATCATATAAATAGCAGTAGTTAATGACCTTTCCCCACCACTTTGATGGTGTCTTGTTAATTCCTGTAATTCATCCGTATCTCGGAATTTTACTCGAATTTTTAAACCGTACTGATCAAAGTCCATCTAAAACAACCATGTGCATATTTAAATGGACATTTAATTTATCTAATATTAATCTTAACGAATCTAAAGTTACTATTATATTTATATTCATAGGAATTGAATAAAACTCTAACCACATTATCACCATGAGATAAGGCAACTTCTCCAGCGCATTTCATTTCTGAAAAATATGAACTAAAATTCATATTTATATGTTCAACTAATTTTTCCAAAGGTGGTAACCATTTTTCGCGTAATTTATTAATATTTTGGGTAATAGTTTCCACTTGTAATTTTTCCCTTTCTGTGGATTCTTGTAAATTATGTATATCCGCTTCCAATTCTTCAAATTCTCGAAATATCTGACAATAAGAAATATTACAAACAAAACAAAAAAGCATTAATAATAATTAAACTTTGTTTGTTTGTTTTTTTATTTTTTTACTTACATTTTCAGCATCAACATTTTGTTTCATACAAAATACTTTGGTTTGCGCTACAGCTATTTCTTTATCTATTTCTTCAATTGTGAGTGGTAATTTACTAAATATTTGATTTATAGGTTTAAATTTTTCATCTTGCGGACTAAGACCATTGGTAAGTTCTTTTGCTTCGTTGAATACTTTAATGGCTTCTTGTTTTAAAGGTCTGTATTGTAATTCTAATTCTTTAAATGTTTTATCAGCTTCTAATAATTCTTGTTTCAAATCTTGAATATCATTTTCTTGATTTAATAAACTCATTTTATACAAATGTAACGCTAACTTGGCTTGTTCAATTATTCTTTCATATTTCCAACGATCTTCTAATAATGAATTATATTCTTTGTATTTATCCAACTGTTTTTTTACAATATCCTGTAAAAATATAAATTATAAAATTAATAAGTTATATAAAATATTATACATGTGTGTATATATATATATATGTAAATATAAACCTGAATGTGTTTATTATAAGTAGCTATAATGTCTTCTTTACTCGTTCGTTCATTTTCTAACTTTTCAATCTTTTGACTAACTATAGATATTCTATTTCGAAGAGTTTGAATTTGTTGCATGGTTTGTTGATATTTTGTTCGATCTTCACGATATTTATCTAATTTTTTATTCTCTGTAGTTAATGTTTCATTAATTTCATTTATCCTACTTAAAATTTCTTCTTTTTTCTCAATAAGCATTTTCAATCTAAAGAGATATATTATTACATATGATTAATATAATTAAAATTGAAATTATAAACTCATATATATAGATAGATATATATATATATATATATATATATAAAGTATTGTAAGTATACCTTTTTTCCATTTGTTGCAATTTATTTGTATCTAATACTATCGATAATATTCCATTTCCAGATATTTGTATCTTTTTAATCGATTTTTGACCAGTATATTTAGACATATTCACGGAATATATATGATCATCTAAAAATGTAAATATGATAAGTGTAATTCTCATTATTTTATATAAATTAAAAAAATGTAAGAGAAAAATTATAGAATTAAATTTATATATTACTCACGGCTAAAATAACAAGTTAAACTATGAGGTATATGTTCCACATTTTCTTCTACAGCACGTGATCCAATTGGTATATTGTTCAAGTTATATGATGGTATTAAATATTTCATTATAGCAGACGGTGCATCAAAGAGCGAAGCCAGATAATGCTCAAAACCAAATCTTCTGATATTTTGTAATGGTATATTCGGATTTAAGTAAATTCTTTTCTCAGGATTGACGTGTACTATGTTGACTTGTAATTTTTGTTGCTCTCTCAAATATCTTGTTAATAAATTCATATCATCCTTATTTTCGCAAGCAAATGCTATTAAATCTCTAAGAGCAATAATCCTTTCTAAATATTTCGAATATGTAATATCTTTGACATTAATCAAAGTTAACATTGGTTCATATATTTTTCCTCGAAATTTATCTTGATTTTCACGCAACCAAAGTACACCTTTATATGAATCAGGACTTCTCTGTCTTAAAATCTCTAATCGTTTTGCTTGAATATTAATGGATTTTTGTTCTTCTGTTACAGCTACAAAAAAATATATATATATATATATATACTTTTTAATACAGTATCAAAGAAATAATTAATTAATCTTTAACATAGTGGTAGAATATTATTCAAATATATTCAATTTTATACTTTTAATGTATTAATGTATTAATGTATTAATACCTCTGATTTCTCGTTCAATTCGTTCATGTTCTTGTTTATACGTGGTTATCTCATTTGTTAAGCTAATATTAACACGTTTTTGTTTTTCCAAACATACTGAAATTTCTCTTTGTTTTATTTCTAATGATTCTTCTATAAATTAAAAAGTCTATATGATTAATTATATAGGAATAAATGAAGATGTATGAAAAATGTAATATTAAGTACAAACCTGAACCAATATCTTTAATCATTAGACTTAAATCGTTAACTAATTTACTTTTTTGCTGCTGTACAAGATTAATATCCTGATCACGATTTTGTTCTGCTTGTATCCTGCGTGAACATTCCTCTTCAGCTTCTTTAATTTCGTTTTCAACTTGAAGAATGTTATTCATTACTTCATTAGCTTCAGATGATTTCGCAATGATCTTATTTTTATTCTAAAAATATAAAATATGATTATTTTATTATTGAATATTATGGATATTATTACATACAAGTTTTCTTTTTGATTTTGTAAATATTTTATATATAATGATATTTATAATAATAAACACATACATAATCGTTTATTATACTTTGCTGGTTGTTAATTTCCGATTGTGTTTTCTTTATCATATTATTTATCGGCATAAGTTTGGCTTGTAAGGATTTTACTTTATTTTCGGCTAAATCTCTTTCGTTTTTTGCCTGTATATATGTAAAATAAAAAAAAAAAATGTTTTAAGAAATTCATAAATACAAATATTTCAATTAAATATTGAATTTAGAAAAATTACTCACTTCAACCAACTGTTTTCTCTTTTGATCGTACAACATCCAAGTTTTCTTTTGTTTCAATGTTAAAATTTTTTTCTTTATTGCTTTTTTTTCTTTGATAGTACTTACAATTCCCTTTAAATGTTCATATTTTTGTGTTTTAGTTTCTAATAAGCGTTGTTTACTTACTACTTTTGATTCAATATTTTTAATTTCAGCACGACAATCTTTCAACTTCATATGGTATTCTAATAATATCGGATCTCCAACTGATCTTTCTGTATTTTCTAATAATTCTTGGGCATTCATTTTTGAAAAATCATGAACTTTATCTTGCGGAAGAAATTGACATAGATTATCCATCTGTAAAGATAAATAAAAACTAACTTTAACTATGCAATGTTATTTCTATAAATTATCTTTATTATACTGCCACATTTATGGGTTTGAAGAACTTTTCTATACACTCTTAACATAGTCTACCATCTTTTCATAAAGACTGTCTTATCATTTTTCTAAAATCAACCCCATCAACATAGGTCACCCTATTCAAGTACTAACTGTGCTCATCGTTGTTTAACTTTAGTGATCATATAAGAACTAATTTGTTCAACGAGGCATACCTGTTGACTATTATTTCCATATACAAATAATTTGTAATATCAAATCAAATAAATACCTGAATATTAAAACTATTTGTTAATTCTTGTATAGCTGCATAATTGGTGGGTTGTCCATTTAAAAACCAACATGTTTTTCCAGATACATTAAATGTTCTTGTAATGGTAACAAATTTGGAATGACTTTCCTTCAATTGAATTTCTATTTTGGCTTCATTGCAACCACTCTTGACATAATCCTTAACATGTACTGCTCTACCAATAATGTTAGGTTTACCTCCCAAGCCAAGTACAATTGCACATACAATTGTTGATTTTCCAGTGCCATTAGGACCGATGATTAAATTCAAATTTCTTCCAGGTTTGATAACAACTTGATTATAAGTTCTACACACATACACAAAAATAAGAATGAAAATATTAATAATAAATATTTATATCTTTATATTTGATAAATTAATGAAAATTAATGTTTTTTTATATATATAATTGTAAATACTTACACAAAATTTTCAAGATAAATTCGCGTTATTATACCCTTTTCAATAATGTTATCTGCCATTGCATTTTTTTAAGATTTGTACGTTTATAAATTTGGAGGGAATTATTTACTTGTATTATGATAGACTATTAACATTGATTTATAAAATGTTCCTAATGTTCGCATCTTGCTAATGTTTCAATTGAAAATTATACTTAAATCATGCATTATGTATAAATTAATACATTAATTATTAAATTAGTGCACATTTAACAAATAATAGTTAATCGCACTAAAGTGCAAAAATCAAACATAACCATGAAGTAGAATTGTTATTAAATAATTTTCACAGTGAAAGTTTACATTCAATACTTGAATAAATACTTAATCAATAATAAATAACATTTAATAATAAATTATTAATACAATATTTTAAAGAAATAAATAACACCAATTTTTCACAATACTAACAACGTTTTCAGTTACTTTGTTTGAAGTTTCATACACGCGCATAAATTACTTCTGTTTAAGTTAGGTTATAATATTAGGTTAGTATAGTAACTAAAGCTAGGGATTAAATTCTGCGCGGTATATTTGAAAAATGTCACGTTAGTGACAAATATATATATATATATATAAACAAATATCTATACAATTCGTACATATTTTATGATTTTTGTGTTTTATTATTATTAAAGTAGTATGAATAATTTAGTAAATTTATTAACAGAAAGATTTTTATTAATAATTTGTCGAGTTATTTTTTCAAAAGTCTGTTGATAAATTTTTCACCCGAACGATAAATTTCCTTTGTGCTTTTAGCCAGATAGTATTTGTTTTTTTTTTTTTTTTTGGTAGTTTTTGTTATGCAGTCTTATCTTTTTTTCTCAAATAAATGAACAATTGTTTACACCGATAAATGGTATCAATATCCAACAAAGGATTCTAACATATTTCTAAGTTGTACATTAACAAATATATAGTCTTGTAGAGTATATTACACATAAGTAGTTAAAATTATTTGTTTACCTATCATCACTATGATGAAACGTCATTAGTTAATGTATTTTATCCCAAGGGTGATAGCGATCGATTAAAAAACATCATCGCTATGGTTACTTCATTGCTAACAAATGATCCACCGGACTCATAAAGGTCCGAAATAAAAATATTCCATACAGTTTAAAAGAAGATTAGTCGTTGAATCGTTGTTAATTGTGTCAGAGTCATCAAAGGGAGTTTTTCACTCGAAAAAAAGAAAAATGAAATTTGAAATACCTATTGTTAATCGTAAAAAATGTTTTCTTTTTCACGCTAAAGATTATTGTTCCTTGATGCGGCCATGTTTTTACATTTGTTTCATACTCGGTGTTTTTCCGTATAAGGTCACTTCAACGACTTTGAAGTTTTCCAAATTTGGCTACATATATTCTACACTTATAACAAGCATATATGTTATTCACGTTTTTATACATTTATATCAAACTGATGTATCCGGGACATTACGATACGACAGTATACCGGGAACGTTACAGGCAAATTTTTATTACATTCTTGGTACCGCAGTAGCCATAATTGCATATTATAATACACATAAAAGAATGTTATTTCTACAAAAATTATATATAGTAGCTTCGAAGCTACCTTCCAAAACATTTATTGAACTGTCCAAATTTATTCACGTGAAAGACATTGTCGGTTTTCTTTTTTTGATTGGACAATTGCCGAACGTGAAAAGTATTTCCGTTAATGTAACACTTGGCAAATTGTCCGGCATTTATGCAACGTTAATTGTTTTTACAATGGATATGCTTTATATGAATTGTACTTGCGTAATTAAGGATTGTTTTATGAGGATTAATGAAAATTTGAAAAATCTTCAATTTGTTCTTGTAACCGGTGAACCTCATCTCTTGAGAAGAGCCTATCACGAAAAAAATAATCCTTTACTTTTAATGGAATTAAAGGCTATTAAAAAAAGACACCAACAAGTCAGCGATATTCTTCAACAAATGAACACAATTTTTGGTTCTCAAATTATTATCACGTCATTAATGACTTTTGCAGAGGTAACTTTTAGTTTATATTTTTACATTTTACGAACGGTCGATCAGAAAGAAATAAACTTAGAGAGGCAAATCTGGTTTGCGTACTTCATAACTTCGGTAGCGTATTATTCCATCAAGTTAAGTTTAATGGCGTGGGCATGCGAGACCGCTAAAAATCAAGCTGCCGAGGTTGGATCTAGAATACACGAAGTAGTTATCAATACCACAGACAAGGATATTAAAAACGAGGTAAAATGTAATTTTATTTCTTTTTTTCAAGTTCTCCATGAAAGTATTATTTTTATTATTACAATGTATCCGCATATTTTATAATATTGCAGCTGCAATTATTTTCCTTGCAAGTATTGCATCGTGATAATACGTTTACCTCGAAAGGACTTACCATGGATGCAACTCTTTTAACAACGGTTTGAATTATTATATTATTTATTCATTTTATAATTGTTAATTGTGTGTTTAAAATTTTCTATATAACATTATAATCATACTTTTGATTTATTTTTCTTTTCTTTTTTTTTTTTTTTTTCATAGATCGTGGGAAGCATTACAACGTATTTATTGATATTAATACAATTCTTGGTTTCCTTAAATCCATGCAAATCACACAATAATACAAACAACAACAACAACAACAGCAATAACTACAACGCGTAAAGATTATAATAACACATAAACAAGAAAATATATTAATAATAATAAGATTTTATTCATCTCACACGCATGTGTGATCTTATTGATCTTCTTTTACTAAGAATTCAAGACATTTCTATATTGTTTTTGTCTAACATAGAAATTTTTATTTTTTTTTTTTTTTTATGTTACAAATGTGCAATGATTAATACTGTTTTAATTGCGTCAGATTAAGAAATATATTACGTAAATAAAAGCGGTCCGAACTTCGTCCCTGTTTTCTACTATTTTATAACAGTATTGAAAATACATACATTCACATTTGTGTACATATATATACATATATATATATACGTAAACACACATATGTGTATATCTTAAATAAACAGAATAAGAAAAAAGCAACGAAAAGTCTAATATTTATACGTTCTAACGACTAGAATAGATTACAACTGACAAAGTCAACGAAATGACGAAGTTCTTTTTAAAGTGAAGACGATGTTCTTGTCAAACGGTAGATACATAAAGATCTTGCACAAGGTAAACGTGTTTTTGATGATCTACAAGTTTTTTTTTTTTTTATTCGGATGAACCGAGACTCAGGTCTATCAATGGTCAAAGCTCGTCGTTCCACTTTTTTAACATGTGTTTCCGTCTGTTGCGAAATCTGAAAGATATTCACATTTATTATCTATTTTTTTTATTAACAACAAAATAACTAATGTTTTTTTATTTATTAACAATATTATTGCAATAGAATATTGTTATACTAGGAATTTATATATAACGGATATATATTATATTTTAATATATAATATATATTTGTTATATATTATTATTATAATTTATATATATATATAATAATATTATAAATTAATTAAATATTATTATAAAAAATATATATTGTATATTATTATAATATATATATATATATTTATTAATATTATATATATTAGTATATTATAATGCCGATATATTGGCAATAGTATTTTAAAATAGTATTTTAATAGTATTTAAAAATTTCTTAATTTCATATTATATTTAATAATTTTCTAATGACTAACACAAAAATTTGTATTTATAAAAGATTAAAGTTAGAATGAATATATATATATATGCGTAGTAAATAAAATAAAATAAAGTAATTGTAGATACCATAAATAGGTAGAAATGGGAAAAGAGATAAAGAAGTAGAAAAACGTGTTTTGTTCATTCATAATTAACGACGCAATTATTCAACTCATTCCTTTCATTATAATCACCATAAAGAGAGTTATCATTCGTTCATTACTACAATAAAGGATCACACAACCAGCACGGTGGCAAACCACATTTCTACTTTTTCTTATCTCTATCATAAATATTTCTTAATAGAATTAAATATAACGACTTCCTTGTTTGTATTATATTTCGAGAACGAATTGATAAATCCAAAAGGGGCAATGATCAATCGTGAGAATTCGATATCTCGATTTATTCGACTTGAAATTTTATAATAAACAACATTATATTATTTCATTTACTCATATATATATAGAAACATATATGAATCTATATATCTATCATAAGGAATTTATATATAGGAACGTATTACAATTAATATTTCATTAACGAATCATTTTACGGAAAATCATCGTGTGTGTATGTATGTGTCATCATGATGTTAGTGAAAAAAAATCATGAAGTTCTTTCTAATTTAGGCGATAAGGATGAAGAGTCCGTGAAATCCGGCGTGTAACGTAGGAGGCTATCACGCGACTGCGCGCGAATGTTACCGAAGATCGAGGAGGCGCCAGCTTTTATTATGAAGCGTACCCAGTTGTCAGTATAGCGCAGACAGTTGCGCGATTCTGTTCGTTTAAACAAAGGAGAATTTTATTTTGTTTTTTTTTCCCTTCCTTCAAGCATCGTTTCAAAAAATTTCACGAACATTTTTCTCTTTCTTTTACCCCCACAAGTGCTTTATCGTTTCTTTTATTTTTGCCGATGAAAACAAATTATTAAAAAAAAAAAAAAAAAAAAAAAAAAAAAACATTTGTCAAATGAAGATATAAGATTTGTCATTTACGAATAATGACGCGTTGCAATTAATTATCATTGATGTATGATAATACATATATATATATATTTGAAAAACATAATTGTAATAGTGTTTTAAAACGAGGACAGACTGTGAAATGTCAGTTACTTTTATCGAGTGCAAAGAAGTGCGTAAAGTGAAGGAACAACATCTATCGTTATCGCTGACAAATAAAGTTCTTTCATTGAACTAAATATATATACATATATATACATTTTTTGCGTTGACACTTTATTAACGGTTCGTTCGGTGACGCAATGCACAAAGATTTCCTCGGATTTTTGGTGACAACGAGCGAACACCAAGTTCGCGATTCGCTGGATGAATTGACATAATAAAACAACTAGGAATAATTGTCGAGTATGTATTATTATATCCTAAAATCCAATGTTTATCCTATTTAAATTCGTTAATTCGAATTAATACGAATTAATGAACATTTCTATATATATATGTATTGTATATTATCAAATTTGAAGAATACATCGAACCATCCCCCAACACTCACCACCCCCTTGTTCATCCACATATTCTTACGGTTTTGTATTTTAATAAAACGTTGGCACGATTTCGTGACGAAATAACGTAAAAGAACTCTCTCTCTCTCTCTCTCTCTCTCTTGACTTTTCATATAATTTATGACTTTGTTTGTGAAATCGTATTAAAGAAAATTTTGATTATTTTCTAGGAATTATAAAAAAAAAACAACAACAACAACAACTTTTAACGCGTGTTGTTATAGGAAAAGAAAACGTGATGCCATTCTCTAACCACATTTTGACCATTATACTACCCCCCTCCCTCTCACCCCTCAAGAGTTCAAGTTATGTACATATTTCTGTCTCTTCTATTTCATTTTATTCCAGTAAACAAATCTTATGTTAATATGACGACAAAAAAATAACACATCAACAACATAACAATAATAATAATAATAATAATAATAATTGTACGTTTCTATCGTAACACAAATATCGATTAATCGTTATATGTTTGTTTCAAAAGAAATTTAATCAGCTCACGGGCGTCGATCATATTTTTTTTTAAATAAAAAAAGGAATTGGCAACTCATTGCTGATCGTCATCGTAAAGGAATGATTTTGATGCACAACGAAGAGAGAAAGAGACAAAGTTAAGTCGAGCGTGAACTTACGTTTCTAGATAAAACGCGATATATATATA